AAATATGGAAAAAATAAAGGGTCTCAATTAAATATGTGCAGTTTCACATGGTTAGTGCAAATTGGCACATGACCAGAGCAGTTTATTTCCTGTTTGCACTTTGAGAAGATGATGGCTGCATCAAAGCTCCAAAACGAAAGGCTAGTAAAGTGTTAACATCAGTGTTGGGCAAGTTACTCTGAAAATGTAATCAACTTACTGATTACTCCTTTTAAAAGTAATCACGTTACTGTTCTGATTACTTTATTTCAAAAGTAATTAGTAATTAGTTACATTACTAGTTGCGTTACTTTTTTCTCCATGAAATTTATGAAATCCCAGTATACACGCTCCCGATAAATATTTGTTATTAAAGCATCAACATTCACAGAACACTGTTATTTTTAACTAAAGCAAGCATCTGCTGCGTGCATGGTTTGGCATGGCAGAATGCCAGCAAAGAGCGCTGCATTTATAATCTCTAAAAGACATCTCAGTTCATCGCAATCTCACAAATCTCTGTTATAACACAATAAATATATGCATATTGCATCTTTCATAATGTCTACAATTCGTGTGTTATAAAGAGAGGATTCGTGAGCACGCAACCACACACACGAGTGTCTGCCCGCCCGCACCAGCACTCGCCCATCTTCTCCCGCGCAGCACTCTGTTGCGTCGGGTCTCGCGGGAGCAGGTCTCTGATCTACTGGCACTTGACTCGACAATGCGTGCGCTACATCCTTTTTACAATCTCTAGATTATAAAACACTGCATTCTGTCAGCAATGTAACACGGCAGTAACGTATAGAGACCTCGGCTTGTAACTATACTCTAATTACAATGCGTTAAATTACTCCGTTACTAAAAACGTAATCAAATTACAGTAACGTGTTACTAAGTAATGCGTTACTGCCCAACACTGCTCACTGCACTTGACTGAATCACTTTTGGACCAGTTTGAATCAGTTCATATTTGATTGATACAGTGAAGACTATGCAGTGTTTTATTTATACACTTTATTCAATTTCATATTTATTTGTTCTATTGTGTTTGTACTTTGCTTCTTTTTCTCATTTTATAACAAAAATAAAATAAAATAAAAATACCTACATCGAGATATATATCGTTATCGTGAAATAAAATTTCTCATTCCGTGAAATAAGATTTTGGTCATATCGCCCACCCCTACTGTATACTGTAGTATATTAACTGTAGGCTGTTTACAGCTGCCGCATTAAAGGAATTGTTCATCCACAACTGAACACTGCTATCACTCACAAAACGCAAAAGATATTTCTGAGGACTCTTTAAGGAGCTCTTGCTTTATAATAACACCTCATGTTAAGCGCAGCTGTCAAGACAAAAATCACCATAACAGTAGAAGTAAGCGGGTTTGTGCTTCAGCGGAGATTATCAGTGAACAATGACTCAAATGCAGGTCTGTTCCTCACACAAAGCATCATGTGACTTCAGAAAAATATGGTGAGGACATTTATAATTGAGGCTGTTTAATGTGTTAATTTGGTGTGATTAATGCTGATGAACATGATGCATGACGACTGACTGACTGTGTGATCCAAGATATGAGGGCAAAAAATGGCCCCTCTTATTTTTATATCATATAAAATAGTTTAATGCTGTAATTTTCCTGAATATTTGCACAATATTGATTTAATACAATAGTTTAATAAACAAGAAGTTAATATTGTTATATTTTAGACACAGCATTGTCAGTATTGTCAGTTTTTGCTCAGTTTCACAAAAGCCAGAACTTTTCTCTGAAAAATATGGTGAGGACATTTATAATTGAGGCTGTTTAATGTGTTAATTTGGTGTGATTAATGCTGATGAACATGATGCATGACGACTGACTGACTGTGTGATCCAAGATATGAGGGCAAAAAATGGCCCCTCTTATTTTTATATCATATAAAATAGTTTAATGCTGTAATTTTCCTGAATATTTGCACAATATCGATTTAATACAATAGTTTAATAAACAAGAAGTTAATATTGTCATATTTTAGACACAGCATTGTCAGTTTTTGCTCAGTTTCACAAAAGCCAGAACTTTTCTCTGAGTCTCTGAGCAACACAGTGGTGATTGAAACAAGTGAGCCAATGATTCACTGACTCATTCATAAAGACAGTCACTTGCTTCATTCTTGAGTGAATCAGCTGTTTGAAGATATTGGCTGAATGAATGATTGAATGAAGTTGCTGTGCACACACAGCAGTGAACTCACACACAATCTCGACAAAATAAGCAGTATTCTCTGCTCTCAAACGCTGGGGGCGTGTCCGCCGGCGGCGCTGAAACCACGCCCACTCACGGGAAAGCTGCCGTCGCTCTCAACTGTCTTCCTCTAGCAGCTTATTTAAATAAGGAGACCGAGCTGTTTTGTAAATTATTTGCAACCAGGTATTATGCATTTACGTGACGAAGGCATAGCTAGCTAGCAACCTGTAGGCTGTAGTAACGAACGGTAATGACAGTTACTTGCGATTGAGCGGGCAAACCACTGCGCTGTAGTTATTAGCTGTGTTCGACTCTGCGCAGAACGATCAGTGCATGACATCAAAGTACCACGAGAGTGATTCGAAAGCATAAGGAGCCGTATGCTCTCTAATAGCTCTGACTGTACTTTGATGTCACACACCGATCGATCTGCGCAGTGCTGTTGGGGGAGGGGCCGTGCTCAGTGTCTCGATTGCATCATCGAGTCATGGTGTTAGCCCCGCCCAGAAAATCCTGAACACGAAAATGGTGAAAAACTGTTTAACGGTCTAACTCCACGATTAAGTACGACATAGTTCACAGTCTTTGCAACATGCTTCAGCAATGCATTTCTAACATTTATAATGTGTTTAGAAACAATTCTCAGAAATGGCTTTACACAGACTTTAATATTAAGCCTAAAAAGTGTTTTAATGTCCCTATTGATGAAGATTGTATGATCTTTGAATAATATTTGAACGGCCATCCCAAAAAGGCACAAAATCACTTTCACGTACTTTTACATTAACTGTTCCCTCCTGGTGGAGTGACCTGCCCAACTCAATCCCAGCAGCTGAGTCCTTAGACATCTTCAAGAATCGGCTAAAAACGCATCTCTTCCATCTTTATTCGACCCTCTAACTCTAGCACTCTCTATTCTAATTCTATTCTTTATAAAAAAAAAAACTTGCACTACAATCATTATATCTGCACTGTTTGTTTACTTCACTGGTTTGCACTCTATCTGCCATGTGCCTTGTGCTGCTTTATCATAATTTTTTTTACATGACCTTACTTGTATATTTGTATTTTATTTTGAATCTGTATCTATTTGTATTTTATGTTCTGCTGTTAGTGTTATCTGTATGCACAAAGGGTCTGAGATTAACGAAATTTCAATTATCTGTATGTATGTGCTGTACATGTGGAAGAATTGACAATAAAGCAGACTTGAACTTGAACTAAAAAAAAACGAACACTAGCAGAATAGACCCTATTCTTTTTGTATTCTATCTATTTGTCTTCTTTTTATTTATTATACAATTAACAAAAAGCAAAAAAGATGGCCTCTAACACTAGCTTGCTCTATTCTTTTTCTATTCTATCCATTTTATTTTATTTTTATTTATTTTATAACTTTTTATTTATTATATAATTGAAAAAACCCTAGCTACGTGTACTGCATTAAGCTAACTGAGACTTGTTATAACACATGCATATCATTGGTTTTTTGTTGATTTTGATTGCTTCTGTTGTCCTCATTTGTAAGTTGCCTTGGATAAAAGCGTCTGCTAAATGACTAAATGTAATATCATAATATGCATAATACGCAGCTCACGGGTTTGGACATCAAGAGAAAATAACAACACTGGTGTGTGTGTGTTAGCTATTTAACTGCTTCGAATGCAGCTCATCCAGTGAGATTTTAGATCATGTGTTACCTGGTTTCTGGCTGACGTCTGTGGGAATGTGTGGAGGACTGGGGTTGAAGTGATCGTAGGGCAGCAGCGGCGTCAGAGGATGCATCCCCTGCTGGACCACAGACACTTTGTTGGACTGCAAGAAACACACACACACACACACACACACACACACAATAAGATGCTGGTCAGTTGAAGTCTGATGCTTGAAAGCGGCGTGCGAGCGTGTCAGATGTTGAATACATTTGCTGAAGGAATCAATGGGAAGGAGCCATTTGATCGATACGGCTTTGATGATCAAGGCCAGCAGCACAAGAGCTTGTTTGCTTTCATGTCTGTGTTTACAAATGGCCTTTAATAACTCATGTGAAATCCAGTTTGCTAATGCTAACAGCATGTTGTTTGACACGATGCGTCATGGCGGTTGCATGGCTGGAAGTAGCTGCATTTCTTGGCCAAACTTCTGACTGCTGTGCCTTTCATACGAGCGTCTTTTCATCTGTGCACATGTGTGAGAGACTTTCAGACTGCGTTTCATACAGAATTGGACAGATTTGCCACGTGTGGCCACATTTATGTGCAAAGTCCATTTTCTCCTTTCTTCATAATGGGCGCACCCCATTAAACACCTGTAATCAAACCCAGGGATTAAAGCCACAAAAAATAAATCATCTGGCTGATAACTTTTTTTTTTTCAGACTATGCCATATACTACTTCATTTAATTACTCAAGACTAACAGCATTTGCTATGGTCAGCTTGCATAATGTTCGATATGTTTTCAATCTGTGAAATAAACTGATACTTTTTGCAATGCTTGAAACATTTTTTAGTCATACAAAAAAACAACAACAACAACAACAACTGTTTAGTGCATTTTTTAAATAACAGCAACAATAGTTTTAGTTTTAAGTGAACCTCCTGAAGCTTCGCTACACCTGATTCAGTCATTATTGCTCTTGATATTGTAATAATGATTATTAATGTTTATTAATAGAATGCATTTAAAATGTTTGGGAAAAAGGCACGTCATAATCTTGTAGGCTTCACAGACAAAAATTGAGTTTAAAGCATTTTTATGTATTATAAAAACAAAACAAATCAGCCCACCAGACAAAATTCTAAACCCCTCTGATTGGCTCAACACAAATGTCCGTGATTGGTTACAATGCTCGACGCTACACAAAAACAATGCATAAAAATGTATGCAACATAAGCAAGCAGATCGAAATTTAATGCTGCAATCAACACTTTTATTCATTTTTTCATATTTCTCAGTTGTAATCTATTTAGTTTATTTAGAAGGGTCATTTTTTGTCCTGTATCTTGAATTTGGGGGGCATGTTGGATCATTTAAGTGCCATTTTTGCCTCAAGCACCTGTTTATTTCTCATACATGACCATAGCGACTGAGAACTTTAACACTGGACATCTCGATCCACTAAAGAATTGATTTCATGAGCGCACACTTACACTGAGATAAAACACTAGAAGAAAAGCTTGTCTTATATTTCACCCAACATACTTATCTTGCAAGCTCTTGCATCTTGAAAAGACCAGAAGAAATCTTGCTGAGGGGATTCCAGTGTTTAGTTCCTGATGAACAACACAATATTTTCCCCGCACAAATACAAATGCATTCACTGCAGTGACAGTGCAGCATGAGTCCAGTGTTCATATCGCATCAAACGTACATGGCTGTTATATATCAGAGCACAAAATCTATTTGCATGTGGTTCTTTCCTTTTATCCGGCGTTTCTTTGAATGACAATGCAGGCATGACTTGTTCTGAGGGTTCGGTCCTTTAATACTGACCACTGATGGACACGACGACCCGTGGGCTCCTCGGGTCTCAAACGCTGTCCTGTCTAATGTATTCTTTGCTTTAAAAATCTAAGTGCTTTTTTGAAGCGGAAATTAGAGGACCTTTTGGAAGCGAGCGCTTTGAGTGTTACGTCTTTAATCTCCTGTTTGAGCACTGATGTGTTTGACGCGTCTGAATGGGGTGCGATCATTTTACACGCTTTATGTTGCCATTGATGTGGTCAAGAACGCTGAATCAGATGAACCTTTGGTCTCTATGATAATGCCTGGAGGAAGTATATTTAGTAGTGGTTGTGAGCTGGCATCTACTCAGAACAACCCAATAGAAAAACCATAACACCCAACATACCATATGCATGAGGGTCGAAGACGTGAAGATGTCCGCATCAAAAGAAATTTACAAAAGTGATTTTATGTCCATAGAAAGCACATTAAATGTAAGTGTCTACTTTTAAGGTTTCAAATTAGTGTTTGGAGAATAAAATGTCAAAATTTGGTTGAAATAATGTTACATTGTCATTCAGTGTAACACTTATATTTATGTAAAAATTCAAACAACATGCTTATTCTGACGTGTACATGTTAAAATGCATAAAAGAATAAGAGAGCATATTACATTTTATTGTGTTTTAAATGATTAAAAAATTCTTACTGACAAATGGGCGAAACCTAGGATAGTGGCACATTTTAAAAATGTAAAATTACAACTAGTTAGTATTTGGGGTGAAAGTAATTAGTCTTTTAATATGTCATAAATTGATTTTTGTTGTAAATATGCCTGACAAGATTGTTACACTGAATGACATTTTAGTGGGTCTCTTCTGTAAATCAGGGGAAAATGTATGATATTTATTTTTTGCTCAGAAAAACAAAAACAAAAATGCAATTACATTAAACAGAAAACTTTTAAATTTTGGGGGGGAAAAACAACAACAATTTAAAGCAGTATTACACTTATTGTTTTTATGCTTAAACCCTTTTTCGTCTTTGACCCGTGAACATCCCTAAACAAAAGAATGTTCTAATAGCTTTACTGTGCTAGGGTCCAAATTATGTTCTGAATTGAAAAATGATCATTCATTTCATATTTTGTCAGTATTTTCTCAGCTCCAGGAATAAAACATTGTTCTCCAAAGAGCACTCGATTTACTTGATATATGATATGAATATGATGTTTTGGACCACACAGTACACAGGAAGTAAACTGACGCCATTCAAACAGTGATGCAAGAAAATTAATTTTTTACCAAAAATTTTCATTTAGATAAAAAGTGAATATAAAGTTTATTTCAAAATTTTATTTAATAAAAAACTGACTTGTACAAACATTAAAATTGCACATTAGACATCTTTCTAATGATATAGGCTAATTGTTTCTACTCTGACTCATTGTTGTAATATAAACACATAAACTGTGGCTGTAACAAAAACTGAAAAAATACAGATATTGCTAACAGGTTAAATAAAAATATAATGAATATGTAATATAGTGCATATTGCAAAATGCTCCTCTCTGGAATTATTAATTTCTAGTTGGTTAACAAGCGTATTAAATGGCTTTTTTGAGATAAAGGTGGTGTTGCATGACATTGTTTATAAGCTGTTTAACTGATGCCTTTCTGTGGTTCAAACCATGAGACGTGATACTAAGCTCTACAGTTTATTTCAACATAAGCACAAATCTCACTGCGATAATTGGATGGCAGGCGGACTACAAATAATATTTTGTGATGTTTTGTTCACACACCAACAGAAAACACAAAAGACTAAAAGCCTAATGCTTGAGATTTAAGAATCCATATAGCTTCATCAAAATGAAGATCAATTAAAGAGACAGTTCATCCGAAAATGAAACTTGTCATCATTTACTCACCCTCAAGTTGTTTTAAACCTGTATGAGTCTCTTTCTTCTGTCGAACACAAAAGTTGTTCAGCTGGTCCCCACTGACTTCCATAGTATGTAAAAAAATACTATGAAAGTCAATGGCTGCCGTCAGCTGTTTGGTTATCAACATTCTTCAAAATATCTTCTTTTGTGTTCAAAAGAAGAAAGAAACTCGTACAGGTTTGGAACAATGTGAGGGCGAGTAAGTGATGACAATTTTGATTTTTGGCTGAAATATGCCTTTAAGACCCAGAAATCAATATTGTTCACAGCCAGTGTTGGGGGTAACATGTCACAAGTAACGCAAGTTACGTAATCAGATTACTTTTTCAAGTAACTAGTAAAGTAACACATTACTTTTTTAATTTACAAGAGAATATCTGAGTTACTTTTACTGAGTTAACGCAAGTTACTTTTTCCAATTTATTGATTGACAGCTCTCCTGTCCCCATGTTGAGAGAAATCAGAAGATGTTACTGTAGTTCAAAAATAAATATAAATATGCATTAATTCATCTCACTCACTCACAAAAAAAAAAAAACACAGATTCAGTATTCCTCAAAATGAATAAAAAAAAAGTAACTAAGTAACGTAATTAGTTACTTTTTTATGGAGTAACGCAATATTGTAATGCATTACTTTTAAAAGTAACTTTCCCCAGCACTGTTGACAGCTGGCATGTTTACCCGCTGTAGTTTATCCATGATGTGTCACGAAACATGGTCAAAACACGACATCAGAGAAACACTAATTAAACATCTCGGTTTCTGTCAATGATTTTGGCCCTCCAAAATTTTGGGTTGCATCACCACATTAGAGGATGCCATTGATTCTAGTGGTCTTTAAAGGCTGTGTATTTATTCCTGTTGTCTTGAGGGTAAATGTGTGTGGGTTTATTAGAATCGAGGTCAATTTCATTTCGATGCTTCTTAAAGCATCCGTGAAGAGACTAAAATCAGACAAGACCTTATTGTGATGCTGTTGGAGCTACGTTACGCCTGACACCACGTCTCTCTGTGGCACCACGCCGCAATCTGGAAATAATTCTTCCAGGTCTGTGAGATGGAAAATGAGTGCCACTTAGCTGGAGGTTTGAGGAACTTCAAAGGAGACGCAGACATAACAACAGAGGCACGTTTAAACACACTCAACCCCCAGCCGCCGGCCCCCTCCGTCAACATGAAGACACCGAGACCTCTGGCTTCATCTCATAACTGCTCATGCATATTATTATTTGCCAGACTTGTAGAGATATGTGCCTGCTTGCAACTTTTGGAAAGTCTCGAAAATCCAAAACACAAACAGTGTCATTATCATTCATCTCTATTTACATTTATGCATCTAGCGCATGCTTTTATTACAAAAGAGGAACAAAGCAGGCAGGTTTATTAGACAACCAGATTAGGAAGCACTGTAAAACAAGTCTT